TGCCCTTGCCCTCGTCTATCACGTCCATGACCTCATCTGGACTGGTGACAAAGCGTTCGGTGCAACCCTTGAGGGGAAGAAAGACACGCCAAGTATGGGTTCAGAAGAAAACACGCGCATGGAAATAAATCATGCGTGATGCAAAAGTTTGAAGAAAGATCTTTGGAATGCCAGTATGGGTTCAGAAGAAAACACGCGCATGGAAATACTGTAAATCATGCGTGATGCAAAAGTTTGAAGAAACATTTTTGGAATGCGAAGAAGTGGAATATTCTTCATTGGCCAAGTCAGTCTGGTCGTAATTTACTGCAGTATATTTTATGCTTAAGACAAAGGTAAAACAGATCCTGTTTTTATATCTTGGGGGGAAATGGGTAAGGCATCAAGACCCTCAACTGAGCAACAAGTCAAAACATTTTGAAGTCAAATGAAGAAAGCTTTTTACTTCCTAAAGACACTGGCGGAGGTAGTAAAATCAACAAACAAGTGACAACTGAAGAAATTTCAAAGGCTAATTGAATACTCTTCAATGGCCAAGTCATGTTTTTCATTGATTTAAGACACAAGTGAAGGCAACAGTTTAAGACTTCTTGAATGGAAAACAAGAGAATATTCTTCCATGATTAGGCCTGTGGCCTAATCTAAGTCAAACTTGTAACAGCATGCTTTCCACTCAACTGAAGTCACAAGTGAAGGCAGAGAGAGCCACAAATAAACAGTGAGAACTTAGTGAAGGCACAGAAGTGGAATATTATCCATTTGCCCAAGTTTAATCAAATTGCTGATGTTTTCAAACATTGAAAACAGGAAAACAGCAGGCCTCTCAATTGAACATCAACTGAAGACTTTTTGAAGTCAAACAAGTGGATTATAAGTTGTCATCTGAACCAAATAGATAATGTTATACATTTACAAAGGAGCAAAGGCATAAGAGCAACAATTGAAGAACTTTTGAAGCCAAATAAAATGAATAATAAATATTCCTCAGTAGTCTGACCTCAACCAAATTGAGCATGTTTTTCAATGACCTGACACAAATTATGGCAAAATTATTATTATTTTTATTTTTTAAACCAAGACAAGGTAATACTTTTCAATGGCCAAATGGCATGATCTGATTCTGATAATGCATGTTTTTCACTCACTGCAGACAACTCGAAGGTCGTGAGCGTCACAAATTTTTAAAATAAGCATTTTTTTGGTATTGTACAGATGAAGGGGTGATGAAATCAAATCCACATTTGACTGAGTGGAGGATGACTCACCTTCACATAAGGGACTCTGTATTTGTCTTCGTGCACTGACAGATTGGTTTTGGTCACTGCAGAGAAGTGGAGCGAGAGAGTGCAAGGTCACCGCTTTGCAATCCTCTAGCTTGTATTGTTGGACAAGTACCCAGAGCGGACAAAATATTAGGGACAGATATACAAGCGGTAATTGAAGGCCCATCGTGTTAATCGAACAATCCATCTGCTATTGTGGTTGTCGTTTGCTCTGTGCCGCCTCACTGTGAACCTGAGTCAGAGTGCGGTGTTGTTCGTGGGAGAGTGGCTCTCCTTATTAACTTTTTTGTTGGGGGCAAATCACAGGAGGTTAAGTGGAGTCGCTGTGCTCATTTCCACACATTCCTGGCTCACATTCCTCACTCGTAATTACATTTCGCCGCACAATGATGCTCGCAACAGCCTGTGTTTGCGTGATGCTTGTAAATCCATCATTTGGGTGCCACTTCATTTAAAATGGTTCCGATCTGCTCCTCAGCATACTGATTGGGCTCTCTGTCACCAATTCTTGTCTGTTTGGGTCTCCATCAGATGGAAATGAAGTGCAGTGACACCTTGAAGTTCCATCCATCCATCCATTCATCCATTTATTACAAGACTTGCCCTGATTAAGATCGTGGGCGGGCCGATTCAAAATGAGTTTTGGCACAAGAAGCGAGGTACACCTGGATCGGTCGCCGGTCAGTCACAGGGTACATAAAGACGAATAACCAACGTGTTCACTTCTACCGTCTATGTAGGATATTCAATGGCAGCCAACTCATCGTAGTGACATGTAAACCTTTGGACAATTCAGAGAACCGAACATGTTTTGGGAAGCTGGACGACAATGACAACATGGGAAGAAGCTCACCCACAATTTCAATTCAATTTGTAATGAGAATAATGTAGAAAGGATAGAAAATGGATGGCTGAATGGTTAACTTCAATTCTTATCCTGCTTGGCTTCATGATGGCAAGAGTTTGAACAAAACCACGCACCATCTAGCAGGTCCCGAATCTTATCCATGTAGATCTCAAAGTATGATACCTGCAAGTACACAAAAAAAAAAAACATTTGGAAGTGATACATGCACATTAAGATTGGATTCATCTGTTCTCCCACGGCCTTATCCTGCAGCGTAACAAATACTGGGGGATTAGTGCACTCTAAACATGGTGATTTATTGATGCTTGACTGCTTAGCCTACAGGCGGATTATTACATCACAGGTCCGAGCACATATTGTACTGTCTGTGTGACAAAGCGAAAACGGTCGGCCGAGTCGAAACCGACCTTAATGTGGAATTCCAGGTTTTCGTCCATGGCAAATATGTGCTCAAAAATGTCTTCCGCGATCCGGGGGATGATGCCCATCCCCTGGGGGTCATGAAGGTTTCCCTGTAAGAGATGAGAT